ATGGCTGGCTGGGGAATTCTGGGAGTTGAAGTCCACTCATCTTAAAGTGGCCAAGTTTGGACAACACTGATCTAGACAGCTAATAGATCATATTAATACACTTAATTATTAAGATTACCTATCTATCTATCTATCTGCTTATAAAAGCCTGCAAAGTACAGATATTTATCCAAGCATGCCTTACATGAGAACACAGCTGAATGTTGGGGACCACGTGTGTTGCCGGGCATTCAGAACAGCGCATGAGGCAGCTGCAGGGATATCTAGCATCCTGCAAGAAATTCCAGCCCAGTCCAGTATCCATGAGTGCATTTGGAACATATGCACAAATCTTCTGCTCCAATGTTAGGGAATGGCTTGGCAGCTGGGCGGTGGGCGGCCTTTTCTTCCTCCTCTTATCTCTGACGGCCAAGGGCTGTACAATATAACACCATGGGGTTATACTGATTTGTGGAGAGGGGGTATATTTTGTGGGGCTTGCAGTGCTACGCCAAGCCGGGGAGAGAAATATGTGTGCATTTTTCCGTCTTACCAATTTGATGAAAGAGAATGTGCTTTAAACCTTCTTTCCAGGGAGAACAACACTTGGGTGAATTTTCCTGGGAGGAATCATGGCCTTGCACATCTTTGGGGACAAATTTGGCCAAGGGATGTGTCTGTGAATATTTTTATTGATTCATGCAGTTATTTAGCACACTTCTGCCCTGCCGCAATCCGAAAGCCTTCCAGTGGCTTTCACAGAATAAATGGCACAACTTAAAACATCCACGGTACAATCTTTAAAACCCAACAGTTGTAAGTAGGAACAATCAAACAATGCTAAAATAAAAACAACCACTTCTGGACAATGTCTCTCACTGCACAAATTCTTTCTCCGGCGGTGTGTGGCCTCTGTGGCTCCCCTCCCCACGAGGAACAGTGGTGCCCACAGGAGGAAGCAAGGCAGGGTAGATGGTGCAAGCAGCATCATGCCAATGCAATGCAGGTTCCACCCCTTGTATGCTTGTGTCATGATGTTGCACACGCATGTGAAAAAGGTGGTGCTTGCATTGCAACACTGCAGCACCGTTTTGTCATCTGGATCCCGCAGAGGCCTCTGACCAGGAGGGGCCTCCTTCTTCCCAGACACCCTTTTAGTCCCCCGGCTCTTGCCACTGCTAAGGGGGCACCCTGCCCTTGAAGAGCTGTTGAAGTTCTCTTGGCCTTGAGGGAGAAAAAGAGCAAAATCACCCATTCCACTCTCTCCCTACAACTCTGGTGGAGAATTTGGGGAAGCCAGTTGTGTTCAGGGAGATCATTTTAGGTGCACAGTGATGATACGGCTGTTTCCATGCTTCTAACAACGGCAATGCTAGAATCGCGGGAGTGGAAATGAAGACTCTGCAAAACAGGACAGCTTCTCCTCTTACACCCAAACCAGTGAAACATCTATTGTATGTTCCAGGAGCAACCAGCAGCAAGGTTGCTCCTTCTCCCATGGCCCTGGTTGAACCTGTGCCCTTTCCAACCCTGTGATCCCATGACTGGGTTTGCTCACCACCCACCTTTCCCCTCCCCATTAAATAAGAAAGAGGAAAAACAAGATTTCTTTCACTGTAAGCCAAAGGTCATCATAAAACAATTCTTCAAAGCAACTTCTCCGGGAGGAGCACACACATGACGAGGCAGAGGAAAGAGGTTGGTGCAGACTGGAGTTTGGCAACTGGAGTTCAGTGTTGTTCTCCTGTGTTTTTTGCAATCAATCAACTTTTTTTGATAGCCGAGTATATTGGTTCACCAGTTCTGTTTTTTCCTGTGGTTTTGGGGGGCACAATTACTGGAGCTTGTCTGCATAAGGGAGGCTCAAACAAACCTCCACCTGAGTCAGGACCTATGCTCTAAACTCAGGAAGTGTGAAGAATGTGCCAACCTCTGTAGCTCCACCAGGCAGATGTGGGGTGCCAGCATCCGCAGCTGGGCTGGGGGGGGGTAAGTTGGCAAGGAGTGCAATATTAACAAGCCCAAACTTGGCCCAGGAACCCCACATTCAGAGGGGTCCCAGGAAGCTACTATTATCCATGATCCCATCTCTGTGTTTACAGCCAGTCAATGCCCACTGGTAGCACAGAGATCTCTATTTTGGAATCTAGGGTATCTGCAGGATGTGGTCAAAAATATCAAGATGGCAGCCATGATGCAG